GGCCCGAAACGTCAGCCTCTCTGCTCCTATGATGCTGCTTGGCCTGCTGTGTTCATCCAGCCCTGCACCTTGTTGTCTCGGATTCTCCAGCATCTGCAGTTCCTACTATCTCTAGCTCAATGGCTGAGTTCCTCCTAGGTACAGAAATCCAAAGATTCGCCACCCTGGGTGGAGAAATTCCTGCTCAACTCAGTCCTAAATGGCCTGCGCTTTATTCTGATATTGTGTTCCCTGGTTTAAGATCCCACACACCCAGCAAGGCAAAAAATCCTCCCTGCACCTCCCCTGCCTAGCCATACAGTTATACAGATATACATCATGGAAGCAAACTCTTCGGTCAAATTGGTCCATGCCAACCAGATATCCTAAATTAATCTAGTCCCATTTGCCACCATGTGGCCCATATCCCTCTAAACCCTTCCTATTCATATACCCATCCAGACGTCTTTTAAATGTTGTAATTGTACCAGCCACCACCACTTCCTCTGGCAGCTCATTCCATACATGCACCATCCTCTGTGTGAAAAAGTTACCCGTTAGACCCCTTTTAAATATTTCACCTATCACCTTAAACCTATGCCCTCTAGTTTTGGACTCCCCTAATCTGGAAAAAAGACGTTGTCTGTTTACCCTATCAACCCTTGAAGGATTTTGTACATTTCGATAAGATCGCCTCTCATTCTTCTATGCTCCAAAGAATACATGCTCAGAAGGGATGACAATGACCTAGTGGTATTATTGCTAGACTATTAATCCAGAACCTCAGGTTATGTTCTGTGATCTGGGTTTGAATACCGTCACAGCAGTTGGTGGAATTTGTTTTCAACAAATATCTGCTATTAAGCATCTAATGGTGACCCTGAAACCAGTGTCTGTCTGGCTCACTAATGTCTTTCAGGGAATGAAATCTGCCATCCTTACCTGGTTCAGCTTAGATGTGACTCCAGACCAAAGCAATGTGTTTGACTCTCAACTGCCCTCTGAAATGGACTAACAAGCCACTCAGTTGTAACAATTGCAACGAAGTCTCAAAAACAAAATGAAACTGGATGGACCATCTAGCATCGACCTAGGCACCAGAAACAACACCAGCAAAACACAGCCCTGTCAAGCCCGCAACGCTTTCCTTCCTAACATCTGGGGACGAGTAGCAAAATTGGGAGAGCTGTTTCTCAGACTAGTCGTGCAACAGCCTGACATTGTCACAGTCCCGGAATCATACCTTAAAGACAATGTCCCACAGAATCTACTCTGGATGGGGATTTCAATCTCCGCCATCAAGAGTAGCTTGCCACCAACACAACTGATCAAGCTGAAGGGGTCCTAAAGGATTTTTCTGCTAGGCTGGGCCTACAACAGTTAGCGAGGGAACCAACAAGTGGGAGAAACTTAATTGATCTCATCTTCAACAATCTGCCTGCCGCAGACGCATTCATTTATGATAGTACTGGAAAGAGTGACCACTGCACAGTCCTTGTGGAAATGAAGTCCTGCCTTCACATTGATAAGACTTTACATCGTGTTGGATGGCTCTGTCACTGTGCTAAATGGAAAAGATTTTGAACAGATCTAGCAACTCAAGACTGGGCATTCATGAGGTTCTGTGGGCCATCAGCTGAATGGAATTGTACTCCAACATAATCTACAACCTCTGGCCTGGCACATCTCCCTCTTTACCATTACCTTCAAGCAAGGGGATCAACCCTGGTTCAATGAAGAGTGCAGGCAGGCATACCATTAGCAGCACCAGGCATACCTGAGAATGAGGTGTCAACCTGATGAAGCTACAAAACAGGACTACTTCCATGCCAAACAATATAAGCAGCAAGTGACAAACTGAGTTAAGCAATTCCACAATCAATGGATCAGATCTAAATTCTGCAGTTCTGTCACATCCAGTCAGTGCACTGTTGTTTGTCATCGATGAGAATATAGCAAGCATAGTAAGTAAGTTTGTGGATGACACCAAGACTCGTGGTATACAAGGGGATCTTGAGCAGCCAGGCCAGTGGGCCAAGGAGTGGCAGATAAAGTTTAATTTAGATAAATGCAAGGTGTTGCATTTTGGTGAGACAAACCAGGGCGGGACTTACATAGTCAATGGTAGGACGTTGGGGAGTGTTATCAAACAAAGAGAACTAACGATTCATTGAAAGTGGCATCACTGGTAGACAGGGTAGTGAAGGAAGAGTTTGGCATGCTTGCCTTCATTGGGCAGTGGATTGAGTATAGGAGTTAGGACATCATGTTGTGGCTGTACAGGTCATTGGTGAGGCCAGTTTGGAGTATTGTGTACAGTTCTGGTCGCCCTGCTAAATGAAGGATATTGTTAAATTAGAAAGGATGCAAAAAAATTTACGAGGATGTTACCGGGACTAAAGGATTAGAGTTGTAAGGAGAAGCTGAATAGGTTGGAACTTTTTCCTCTGGAACATAGGAGATTGAGGGGTGACCTTATAGAGGTTTATAAAATCATGAGGGGCATAGAAAAGGTGAATAGCAAAGGTCTTTTCCCTAAGGTAGGGGAATTCAAAACCAGAGTGCATAGTTTTAAGGTGAGAGAGGAAAGACCTAAAAAGGACCTGAGGGGCAACTTTTTCATACAAAGGGTGGTGCATATATGGAATGAACTGCCAGAGGAAGTTGTAGATGCAGGTACAGTTGCAACATTTAAAAGACATTTGGACAGGTATGTGGATAGGAAAGATATAGAGGGACACAGGCCAAAAGCAGGCAAATGGGACTAGTTTAGTTTGGGAAACCTGGTCGGCATGGACGAGTTGGACCAAAGAGTCTGTTGCCTTGTTACATGACTCTATAGTGGTGGACAATCAAACAACTCACTGGTGCATGACGCTCCACAAATATTCCCATCCTCATGATATGAGAGCCTAGCACATCAGTACAAAAGATAAGGTTGAAGCCTTTGCAACAATGTTCAACCCATAGTGATGAGTTAATGATCCATCTTGGTCTCCTCCAGGGGTCCCTAGCATCTCAGAAGCCAGTCTTCAGCAAAAGCAATTCACTTCAAGAAACAGTTGGAGGCACCAGATACTGCAAAGGCTACGAGCCGTGACAACACTCCAATGACAATAGTACTGAAGCCTTGGGCTCCAGAACTTGCCAAACCCCTATCCAAGCTGTTCCAACATACCATTTGATGCTGCTTATCAAAGGAGTGCAGCCTTTTTTCCCTTTATTCATTCACGGATGAGGGCACCACTGGCCAGGCAGCATTTATTGCCCAGAGGGAAGTTAAGAGTCAACCACATTGTGGTGGGCCTCGAGTCACACGTAGGCCAGACCAGGTAAAGATGGCAGTTTCCTTCCCTAAAGGACATTAGTGAACCAGATGGGTTTTTCCCCGACAATCGATTCCTAATTCCAGATATTTATTGAATTCAAATCCCACCATCTGCCGTGGTGGGATTCAAACCCTGGTCCGCAGAACATTATCTGGATTAATAGTCCAGCAATAATACCACTAGACCATCGCTTCCCCGAGCCACTGTTAAATCTCCAGCCAACAGATGTTCGGACGCCCATCAATACTCGACAACTGGATGATAACGATGACCCAAACCTTCGAACGTCGGCTTCAGGCTCGAGCACAATGAACGCTTGCTTCCCGCCTGTTTCTCGTTGCGCCAATCAGTGTTCCCGTTGTGCGCACGCACCCGACCGCCCGGGCCCCTCCAACCGGCTGACGAATTACGCATGCACCTGGTCTCCCCGAGACGAACCGAGCATGCGTCACGCTGCCGGCCTGGTGGGAGTTCCGTGGGTGCTTGAGAGTGGGACGGACAGAGAGAAAACGGTAAAACAAAAATAACCGGGTGTAACTTGGTGAGGGGAAAGCGGAAGTCAGATGGCGAGATGAGACCCCTGTCCGGGTCTGTGAATCTCCGCTTCTTTATGACGTACGTGTCCTAGGTCGAGGCTTTCCACGCGTGGAATAGGCCGCAGGCCTTTGTTACTACGGGCTCTAGTGATGGGCTGACCGGGCAAGGGAGAGGAAGTAGCCGGCTGAGGAATTCACTGCCAATCCTAGATTCATCGTCGGTAACCGGGTGGACCTCGCTGTTCTAGTTGGGGGCAGGGGGCGGAGTACTATTGGACCTGTGGCCGGTTGGATTGCCACCAGTCCCGGCAAACTGTCGAGATCTGGGGTCCGGGTTCATTGAGCGCTTCGGTCTCCGTATCCCTGAGGTCGCCACTGAGACCCGGGGTTCGTTAGTCGCGGCCTGGAACTGCGGCTTTCGTTCTCTGACTTCTTTCTTGTACTAGGGCAGTCCCTGATCTTACAAGTAATAGTCTGCATTAATTTGTATTTTTAACGAATCAGGGGGAGCCTTTTATTCTTCAATGCACGAGAAAGCAGAATAATCCTTTAAACTAGTCTCATGCTATCAACACTTTTTTTTCTCTTTCCCTCCTTTGCTCGGGTATTCCAATCGACGACTTGAAGTCTTTTATAGCAGCAGTAGCACCACTAAGTTTAGTTTGTCTGCAGTTGTTAGCATCAATGATATTGATGTAGTACAGACCTACCTGATCTATTTGCTGCTTTGATTAGCTGGGGGTACGAGAGTTCATTTAACTTGTATGGAAGGATGATTGGAACCTGATTTCTATTGTTTAGTTAGACCACTTATATTTTCCTTTTTACTGTAACAAAGTTTGGTTAACTATTACTTTTGAAATTTGGGCTATGTTGTGATGCAGCTATGCATCCCTGTATTAAAGCAGTGACAATATAAACCTGGGCTATACAAGGCTGGGAAGCATCTTGTCTAATAGCTGGTTGGTGTTAAACGGCCCAGTGCAACAGTTAAAGCATGAGTGACCCAGATCTGTTTTTTGAGGGGGTGGAGAGGAAAGGTTGCAGAGAGAGAGATCCACCTGTGTTCCTGATGACTGATCCAAATACTGCTGCAGGAAGATGAATGCTTGGATATTAAAATAACATTTGACCAAAATCCTCCCAAAGTCAGGGAGCATCCTGTCATGATGCAAAAGCTCATGCATGTATAAGAGAATATAAGACCTTAAGAAACAGGAATAGGAGTATGCTCTTCAGCCCCTCAAGCCTGCTCTGTCATTCAATAGGATCATGGCTGATTTGACACTCCTCGTATCCACTTTCCTGCATTTTGCCTGTAATTTTTGATTTCTCCTTCTGATCAAGAATCTGTCTCAGCCTTAAATATACATGACTCGGTCCCCACAGCACCTTGTGGCTAGAACTTCCAGAGACACTCGGAAGAAATTCCTCCTGATCTCAACCTTATATTAGCACTCCTTAAGCCCTAGACTTTCCCATGAAGGAAAACATTCTGTCTGTGTTTACCCTGTTTAAGCCCCTTAAGAATCCTATAAGTTTCAGTGAGATCACCTCTCATTCTTCTAAATTCAAATGAGTAGTGTTCTGGGCGTGAGTTTAGAATATGCAGTGCTGTATATGGGAGCTAGGGTTCCAATCACTTTGGCTGTGTGGTGTCTGTTTTCAGCTAGTTGCCATGTGACACTATGCTTCATTACAATTCTCATCATTCTTGCCAAAGGCAGCTAACATATTGAACTCCCTATTTCATGTATAAATCATCGGATTCAGTCTGAACAGATAAAGGATAAAGTGTGGCTACATTCTGCTTTTGTTTCCTAAGATTGGTGAGAAACTGTCTGTCCGATGTAATGTAATGTCTGTCCAGACAGATAGGAAGGAAACTAGCCATCAGAATACATGAACGTCAACTAGCAACAAAAAGCACAACGAAGTCTCCTTAATATCTGTACGCTCAGCCAATGAAGGCCATCAGTTTAACTGGGACAAGGTAAACATAGCATCCCAAGCAAAACATAGACATGCACGGGAATTCCTAGGGTCATGGTTCTCCACCTGTAATGCAATCAACAAACACACAGAATTGGACGCCATATACAAACCCATACAGATCAAAACCAGAAGTGACACTACTCACCGTAATGGACCAAACAGTATAAATTCCAAGCAGAGTAGAATAATAGTGTTTCATCCGAGGCTCCACTGATGATGTCATCTAGCATGGTGACGAAATGTTTGAACGAGAACAAGCCAGCTTGGCGAGCAAGTCAACAACCTCGTGCTATTTTTTTTGCGGCTACAACTGATGGGGCGAAAGTGATAGCAGTTCTTTTACGGGAGGAGAATAGGATTGTCAGTCATGTCAAAGACTAAGGAGGTTAAGTAGGAATAATCTAACAGATTCTAAGAATATCATTCATGACTTTGATTAGGGCTGTTCTGGTGCCGTAGTGAGGGAACGATCTTAATTGGACAGGACTAAACATGAAATTAAGGGAAATGTATGCACAGATTTGGAAAGTGATTAAATTATTCATGGGCTTTGGAAAGGAAGTGGAATCAGAAAGGGGATTTATTTGCACGGGCAACATTAAAAGTGTGAGCTTTTCAGGGAGTGATCACATTTGAATGAGAGTAGGACAGTGTCTGAGGGGAATGAATAATTTACAAAACGAATGGGTACAAGGGCTGGGAAGTGAGGTTGAGTGATTAGCAGAGTCTGAGGTGGTTTTCAGGAACCAGATGAGTTTGGGAGAGAAAGAAATGTTGGGAAGAAACTAGAGAAAGATGCCAAAGGAGCAGTTTGGATTCTGGATGCTGAGAAACAATGATGAATATAAGAGATAGGGGCAGAAATTAGGCCGTTCGGCCCATCGAGTCTGCTCCGCCATTCAATCATGGCTGATAAGTTCCTCAACCCCATTCTCCTGCTTTCTCCCTGTAACCCTTGATCCCCTTGATAATCAAGAACCTATCTATCTCAGTCTTAAATGTACTCAATGACCTGGCCTCCACAGCCTTCTGTGGCAGTGAATTCCATAGATTCACCACTCTCTAGCTGAAGAAATTTCTCCTTATCTCCTTTCTAAAAGGTCTTCTCTTTGCTCTAAGGCTGTGCCCTTGGGTCCTGGTCTCTCCTACCAATGGAAGCATCTTCCCAACATCCACTTTGTCCAGGCCATTCAGTATTTTGAAAGTTTCAATTAGATCCCCCATCATCCTTCTAAACTCCAATGAGTATAGTCCCAGAGTCCTCAAACATTCCTCATGTTAAGCTTTCTATTCCTGGGACCATTCTCGTGAACCTCCTCTGAACCCGCTCCAGGGCCAGCACATCCTGAAATATGGGGCGCAAAACTGCACGCAATACTCCAAATGTGGCCTGACCAGCGCGTTATAAAGCCTCAGTAGTACATCCCTGCTTTTATATTCCAGTCCTCAAAATAAATGCCAACATTGCATTTGACTTCCTGACTACAGACTCAGCCTGCATGTTTATCTTGAGAGAATCCTGGACTAGAACTCCCAAGTCTCTTTGCACTTTAGACTTCTAAATTTTCTCCCCATTTAGAAAATAGTCCGTGCTTTTGTTCTTCTTACCAAAGTGCATGACCTCACACTTTCTCACGTTGTACTCCATCTGCCACTTCTTTGCCCATTCTACTAACCTGTCCAAGTCCTTCTGCAGCCTCGCCACCTCCTTAATACTACCTGTCCCTCCACTTATCTTTGTACCATCTGCAAACTTAGCCAGAGTGCCCACAGTTCCTTCATCTAGATCATTAATGTACAAAGTGAAGAGTTATGGTCCCAGCACCGACCCTTGCGGAACAGCACTCGTCATCGGCTGCCATCCCGAGAAAGACCCCTTTATTCCCACTCTCTGCTTTCTGCCAGACAGCCAATCTTCTTTCCATGCCTCTAACACCGTGGGCTCTTATCTTACTCATCAGCCTCCTGTGTGGCACCTTATCGAAGGCCTTCTTGAAGTCCAGGTAGATGACATCCATTGGCTCTCCTTGGTCTACCCTGCTCGTTACTTCCTCAAAGAATTCTAGCAGATTTGTCAGGCATGACCTCCCCTTGATGCAACCATGCTGACTTTGCCCTATTTTACTATACATTTCCAAACATTCAGAAGTCTCATCCTTTACAAGAGACTCCAAAATCTTGCCCATGACTGAGGTTAGGCTAATCGGCCTGTAATTATCCATCTTTTGACTTACTCCCTTTTTAAACAGGGTGTCACGTTAGCGATTTTCCAGTCCTCTTGGGCCCTCCCTGACTCTCGTGATTCCTGAAAGATCACGACTAACGCTTCCACTATCTCTTCAGCTATCTACTTTAGAACTCTGGGGTGTAGTCCATCTGGTCCAGGTTATTTGTCCACCTTCAGGCCAATCAGTTTTACTAGCACCTTTTCCTTGGTGATGGCCACCGTACTTGGCTCTGCCCCCTGACTCTCTTGAATTTTTGGGATATTACTCGTGTCTTCCACCGTGAAGACCACACGAAGTAATTATTCAGCTCGTCAGCCATAGAATTCCCCCCCACCCCAAATAACCCATTATTTCCCGTGGCTAATCCTGCCTGCACACCCCTGAATACTATGGGCAATTTAGCATGGACAATCCACCTAATCTGCACATCTTCGCTGTGGGAGGAAACCTATGCAGACACAAGAATGTGCAAACTCCACACAGATAATTGCCTGAGGGTGGAATTGAGCCTGGGTTCTCTGAATCTATGATGCAGCAGTGCTAACCACTGAGCAGTTGTGCCATGCATATTCAAAGCTGCCACTCTTAAACTTGAGGGAGTGAAGATAGGCCATTTTAGGAGTGACAGCAAGGGTGAGAAATTATGGATTTTACTGGGACCAAGAATTCCAAAGCAGAGGTGAAGTGGTGAGCAATTCGACAACTACAGGCGTATTGTTGCGAACAGTGTGTCACTGTAAGAGTAACTAAGTGACTTTTGAGTTGTGACAGTTGGAATAGAGAAAGTCAACATAACCCTCAGGATTAACCTGTTACTTGCGTGTGTATTTTCAGTTGGCTGCTTGTGTACACAATACTGTTAAAGGAAAGTTCTCCAGGTTTTTACATATACAAAGTGAGGGTGATTTTGCATGTTGGGCTTTTGACTTTCTATTTATATCTCAATCTGGCTGAGACAAGCAAACAAGGTGTGCCTGTGCGTGCTCTTTATAAATGCCTGAAATGAAATTTGATCAAACTTTAAACAAATGTGAATGTTTAACAGCACTCGAAGCTGAGTCGCAGCATCTGTTCCCAGTATTAGTCCTCCAAATACAATTGAGAATCAAGAAAAATATTGAGATAACAAGGTGTAGAGCTGGATGAACACAGCAGGCCAAGCAGCATCAGAGGAGCAGGAAAGCTGACATTTCGGGTCTGGATCCTTCTTCAGAAATGGGGGAGGCGAAGGGGATTCTGAAATAAATAGAGAGAGAGGAGGGAGGTGGATGGAAGATGGATAAAGGAGCAGATAGGTGGAGAGGAGACGGATAGGTCAAAGAGGCAGGGATGGAGCCAGTAAAGGTGAGTGTAGGTGGGGAGTTAGGGTGGGGATAGGTCAGTCCAGGGAGGATGGACAGGTCAAGGAGGCAGGATGAGGCTGGTAGGTAGGAGGAGGGGGTGGGGCTTGAGGTGGGAGGAGGGGATAGGTGGGAGGAAGGACGGACAGATGAGGGAAGTGGGGATGAGCTGGGCTCGTTTTGGGATGCGGTCTGGGGAGGGGGGATTTTGAAGCTTGTGAAGTCCATATTGATACCATTGGGCTGCAGGGTTCCCAAGCGAAATATGAGGTGCTTATACCACATTAGCAGATGTGCAGGTGAACATCTGCTTGATGTGGAAGGTCGTCTTGGGGCCTGGGATGGGGGTGAGGGGAGAGGTGTAGGGGCAGGTGTAGCACTTCCTGCGGTTGCAGGGAAAAGTGCCAGGGGTGTTGGGGCTGGTGGGGAGTGTGGAACGGACAAGGGAGTTACGGAGAGAGTGGTCTTATTGAGGGTTTAGAGGGGAGTGAAAAGGCAAGTAAGAAAAACCAAAAGGAATTATGTGAAAAGACTAACAGCTACTGTAAAGGGGAATCCCAAAGTCGTCTATGGGCTAATAAATAGTAAAAGAGTGGTTATTGGAGGAGTAGACCGAATTTGAGACAAAAAAGAGAATTTACACTTGGAGACAGGGGGCATGGCTGAGGTGTCAAATGAATATTTTGCTTCTAACCAAAGAGAATATTACCCAGGCCATAGTGACAGAGGAGGAAACTCTGTTACTAAAGAGGTGCCAAATTAATGAGGAAGTAATCTTGGCTAGACTGTTGTTACTTAAAGTTAACAAGGCCTCAAAGTCAGATGAGGTGCATCCAAGAATTTTGGAGGAACTTAGGGCAGAAATTACGAGGGCACTGGCTGTAATCTTTTAATCTTCCCTGGTTTGGAGAAAGTGCAGGAGACTCGAGAATTACAAACATTACAGCCTTATTCAAGAAAGGATAGTAGGGATAAATAATCCTATCAATTATAGACCGGTCAGTTTAACACTGGTGGGGACACTTCTAGAAATAATTATTTGGGACAGAATTAGTGGTGACGTGGAAAAAGGCAGGTTAATTAGGAAGAGTCAGCACAGACATCAAAAGCAGAATTTGTTTAACTAATTTGTTTTTTTTTTAGGAATTAACAGCCATGATGAGGGTAATGCTGTTGATATGTTATTCATTTGATACAGTGTCACAACAGACTTGTGAGGAATGTTATGGGTCATGGTATAAAAGGGCAGTATGAACGTGGATACAAAATTGCCTGAGTGCTAGGAAACAAAGTAATAATAATTGGTATTTTTCAGGTTGGAGGAAGGTTTCTATTGAACTTCCCCAGGATTCAGTATTGGGGCCTCTGCTTTTCCTGATATATGTTTTTGATCTGGATTTTGATAGAGGACATTTTCAAAGTTTGCAGATGACACAAAATTGGAAGAATTGTAAACTGCGAGGAGGATAGTGTGGAACTCTTAAAAGGACATTGCCAAGTTGGTGGAGTGGGCTAAAAGGTGACATGAGGTTCGATACAAGGAGGTGCGAGGTGAGGCACATAAGTAGAACGAACATTGAAAGATAATATAAACTAAGCGGTACAATTCTAAAAAGGGTACAAGAGCAGGGGAGCCTGGGTGTATATATGCACAGATCGTTGGAGGTGTCAGGACAGATGAAGAGAGTTAATAAAACATACTGTCATTGGCTTTACTAATAGGGTCATAGAGTACGAAGCAAGGAACTGATGTTGAACTTGTATAAGACGCTTGTTAGACCTCAGCTGGAGTATTGTGTACAGTTGTGGGCACCATATAGAAAAGATACAGATGCTATGGAGAGAGTGCAGAAGCAATTTACAAGAATAGTTCCAGGGCTGAGGAATTTTTGAAGATAGTTTAAAGAAGTTTGGACTGTTTTCCTTGGAGAATAGAAGGATGAGAGGAGTTTTGATAGACGTTTTCAAAATCATGAATGGGCTGAATAGAATAGATGGGGGAAGCTGTTCCCACTCGTAAAAGGATTTAAAAAGATTTAAAGTGATATGCAAAAGAATTGAGGATGATGTGAGAAAAATCTTTTCTCACAGATAGTTAAGATATGGAATGCAGTGCCTGGAAATGTAGTAAAGACAGGTTCATTTGAGACATTCAAAAGGGTGTTGAAAGTTTTGTTACTTGGATAGTAATAGTGTGCAGGGATTTAGGGAAAAGGCAGGAGATTGGCACTAGATAATAGAAGTAGATAATGGCCTGTTCTTGTACTGTAACAATTGTGGTTCTTCTTCTGACTGGGGAACATGTCACCTTGTATAAAAAGTGGATATTGCATAATATAATTCAGGGTCATTGCAATGCCCTAACTTAGATTTGATCACCTAGAGGGATTGAAGTGTAGTTTTATGAATTCTGACCCCCACCCCACCTCCACTCTCTGCACAGTCCCGTACCCAAACGGATATTAGCCTGGGTGTTATTAGTTTAATAGTCTTTCCAAGAAAATTACATGGGTTCCGGGTGGTCATAATCTGTTTGCAACGTGATGCATGAGCCACTGATTCTGCTATGGTAGCAAGACTTCTTGGAGGTGTAACATTCTCAGACTATACTGTGCTATTACTGTCTAATTATAAATTTCTCATGCAGACATTTCATGTACTTCCTAGTAAACGCCGAGGGCTGCTTCACACCTCAATCTGTTTTACACTCTGAAACCTTGAGGAATTGAAATGGTGCGTTTCAGGTTCAGCTTTTGTTGCTAGCTAAATTGTTCGTGTGATTACTAACTGCATTTGAATTTCTTAGTTGGCATTGATTTTTACCCTTGGATAAAGTGTTCTTTATACTTCTGTTTGTCTTTAACTCTCACTTCACCATGTTTGACTCTATCTTCGCCAGCTGAAATTCCCATGATATGGTTGTCTGTGCTGCATGTTTGTGTGTGCGCATTGAGTAATATTACTGAAATGTTTACACTGATTCATACAAATTAAGAGCAGGTCCCTGTAGCCTGCCTGCTCTGCCATTCAAAGAAAAAGGCTCCTCTGATTGTGGCACATCTCCACTTTCCTGCCTACCCCAATAACCTCTGACTCTCTTGTTAGTCAAAAATCTTTCTACCAGTAAAAGTATTCAATGATTCCACCTTCACCAGTCTCCTGGGAAGAGAATTTCAAAGATTCATGACCCTCTGGCAAAGGGTTCCTCCTCATCCTTGTCTTGTATGGAAGACCCCTTATTTTCATGTGTCCCCTGGTTCTAGATTCCCACACAGGTGGATAAGGAGTTCATGGGGCAAATAGAAACAAAATCCTCTGGCGGCATTTGAGCAGAATTGGAGGCGTAACCCAAATTAGACACAGACCATTCCAGGGTGACATATGAAAACTATCTTGCATAGTGGTGGAAATCTGGAACTCTTGTAAATAACGTGCTGAGGCTGAAAGTCAATTGAACATTTCAAAACTGAGGTTCATGAATTGTTTATTGTGGTGGAGAATTAAGAGTTAAAGCTGGTGAATGGAGTTAAGATATACAGATCAATTGTGATCTAATTGATTGGCAGCACAGACTGCTATGGCTGCCTTCTGTTCCTTATAGAAATTTTTCAGAGATATTTAGTACGAATTGCTGATTAGTTTTGATCCATCTATTTTTACTTTAAAACAACTAATAATGTATATGAAGCACTTTCTGTGTGTGTGTGAGAAAGATGCTACTTTGAAGGCCTGCAATTGACCTAAAAATTGAACTCCATTTGCATGAGTTGATGTTGCCAAAATATTTGATGACTGAAAGGAACATGTTTTTCCAAATTGCCACACAAGTAATTGAGTGCTGCAGTCCCTTCCCCACACCAACTGTCTACAGAGTCAGTTAATTACCTATCCTCTTTCAGTCCAGCAAAGTCTTTAAAATATGACCTGGCTGTTTTGGGGATCACTTGGCCACAACAAAGTTATTGTCAGAAGTGTTCTTCCTTTTATCTTAAAGGCGCAATGAATTTCTCATTGTCCCAACTGACCTACATGGGTTAGATGTACAAGCCCTGAGACCATGTGTGCAGTGTGGCCTTCAACTGTCCTTGACGTTGATTGGCATGGGAGCATTACAGGTAATGCAAGTTTTCAGAGCCCAGACTTAGCACAGCAGCATTGAAATACCTTTAAAAATATCAACCTGCCTCTTTGAGGAGACTGACATAAGACATCGGGTATTTTGAGTGAATAGTATTTTATTCTTCAGGTGTGGTATTCTGAAAAGGCATGTTTTGAGATTTGTGCTTGGAGTTTGTCATGTTTCAAACATTTTTTTTCCCCAAATCATTTTTGAGAGTTGCTGCTTTTTTTTTGTTGCAACTAAACTATGTTGAAAAACCACACTGCATCACTTCTCTTTATTAGTCAGCACTTTGCATTGCTTCAGAGAGAATGAGAAATTCCGCTATGGTTGGTTAACAATAAAATGGGGAGTTACTTTGATGGAGAGAGAGGAAACATTGTTCCTGGATTTTCCTTGCACTCTAATTATGTAGTAATTTAAACAACAAACATCCATGTGTGCATTTTTTAAGCTAAAGGTTCTGAACTTGTGTTGGGAGAGGAAAAGCAGCTTGTGCCTCACTATGTAAAGTTCTGACCTGGCAGATATACTTAGAATGCTGCTCTGCCTGTGTTCTTGCTGCGAAATCTTCTCCAGTGCCTGTAGATATGGACCTCTGTGACAGTTCAACAAACAGCTCATCATCACCTTCTTGGGGGCAATAATTACTGGCCCTGCCGGTGACAGCCCCATCCTGAGAAAGAATGGAAAAATTAACATGCTCCATTGTAGCAGTGTGAGGATGTGAAGCTTTCAGATTTGTATGAATATTGTTTGTCATGCAAGTATTTTAAGCTCCACTGTCCTGAGAGTCTCTCAATTAATCATTTTTGTCAAGGACAGCCAGGTTCTGTGTGAAATCTGGTCACTCACAACAGCTAAGCATTTGAAAATGGTTTTCAGTGCTCTTAAAAGCCACAAACTTTATAGGTACCTGGTGCTAACGTATTTTAATTGTGTAGAATTGTAAGTGGCCAGACTCTGGGCTAGTTTTATTTCAAAGCATGGAAAGTGTTAAATGACTATGTAAGGGGGAAATTATTGCTTTGTGATTGAGCTTTTTAAAACATTTTGCAGCTGAAAGATGTCGTATTACTCCAGAAGTTCCAGAGCTTCAGACTGCAAAGTCTACGTTGGTGATTTGGGAACAGGAGCTGCCAAAGGAGAGCTGGAGCGAGCCTTCAGCTACTATGGCCCTCTAAGGAATGTTTGGGTAGCACGGAATCCACCAGGCTTTGCTTTTGTGGAGTTTGAAGACCCCAGAGATGCAGAAGATGCTGTGCGTGGGATGGATGGCAAGTGAGTATTTGGAAAGACCTTTAAAATGTGCAAACATAAATTAGAATGCACAATTTCATTGGAAATCCTGACGTGAGGTTCTTGTGATGTTGGAATTAATTTGGATGGTAAATGACCTCAGTCTTAAGTAATCACAAAGATCCCAGATTCAATCTCTAGTCTTGCATACAGCTCACAACCAGGCCATTCAACCTAACTAATCAGTTTTTATGTTCGATACAAGTTTACTCCCATTCCCCGCTTGTTTACAATTTTTCTTTGTGTTTATCTAACTCACCTCCCGACTCCTCAAAGTCTATCCACCATCTACAAGGCACAAGTCAGGAGTGTGATGGAATACTCCCCACTAAGCTGGATGAGTGCAGCCCCAATAACACTCATCAAGCTGGACGTCAACCAGGACAAAGCAGCCCACTTGATTGGCACTACATCCATAAGCATCCATTACCCCCTCCACTGACACTCAGTAGCAGCAGTGTGTACCATCTACAAGATGCACTGCAGAAGTTCACCAAAGATCCTCAGACAGCACCTTCCAAACCCATGACCACTTCTATCTAGAAGGACAGGGGCAGCAGCCGTATGGGAACACCACCCCTTCAGGTTCCCCTCCAAGCCACTCAATATCCTGACTTGGACATATTATCGCCGTTCCTTCACTGTTGCTGGGTCAAAATCCTGGAATTCCCTCCTTAATGGCATTGTGGGTCAACGCACAGCAGGTAGACTGCAGCATTTCAAGAAGGCAGCTCACCACCACCTTCTCAAGGGCAACTAGAGATGGGCAATAAATGCTAGCCAGCCAGTGATGCCCACATCCCACAAATGGAAAAAAATTTCTCCTTAAACTCACCAATACTATTTGCCTTAACTACTGCTGGTGATCAAAAAAGTTCCATTGTCTATATTATACCTACTTAGTGTAATGAAGGTTTTACTAAATTCAGTCTTGGATTTATTGGTAACTATTATTCATGATCTTTAGTTTTGGAGTTACGCAAAAGTGGAAACATCTTCACTATGATCCCCTCATTGACTTTTGTCAAGGCACCCCTCAGCCTTTTAAAACCATAGGTGAGTTATGGCACAAAAAGAGGTCACTCAGTCCATTTTAATCCCAGGTTCCAGCACCTGGTCCCTAGCCATGCAGCTTGCAACACTTCATTTGCAAGTCCAGGTACCTTTTACGCAAGTTGAGTGTTTCTACTTCCACCACTGAATTGGGCTGCAAGTTCCAGATATCTATCACCCTGTGGATGGAAAGGTTTCTCTTCATAGCCCCACTAATCCTTCTAATTATACGTATCTCTTAGTAATTCACCTCATTGTTAGGGGAAACAGGTCTTTCCTGTCTACACTATCCAGTCCCTTATTTTGTGCATCTCTATTAAATCACACCTCACGACCTCTGTTCTAAGGAAAACACCGCTAGACTATCCGATCTTTGCTCTTAACTGCAATTTTCAAGCCCTGGCAACATTTGTTTAAATGTCCTCTCCAGAGCAATTATGTAAATAGGAAAGAATCAGTGAACTGGCTGATGGGCAGAAAAGTGGCAAATGAAAAGTTCAGTCTGGAGAAGTGAGATAATGCCTTTAGTAAGGGCAAACAAGGCGAGAACTTACACAATCGATGGCAGCATACTGAGAAATGTAGATGAGCAGGAATACCTAATAGTGTATTACCACTGGTTAATGAGGCATACAGCTGCTCTTCATTGTGGCCAGTTATAGGAAGGATATTATTAAGATGGAGAGATTTCAGAAAAGATTTACCAGCATGTTGCTGGGTATGGAAGGTTTAAGTCATAAAGGCTAGTTAGGGCTGAGACCTTTTTCACGGGTGTGTAGAAGGTTGAGAGGTGACCTTAGAAGTTTATAAAATAATGAGGGATATAGATAGGGTTAATGTTAGTTGTCTTCCCTCTAGAATGGGGGATTTCAAGTCGAGGGGGCATATTAAGGTGAGAGGAGAGAGATTCAAAAAGATATGAGGGACAAATTTTTTAGACAAGAGGTGGTTTGCGTGTGGAATGTTTCACACAGAAGGTGATGGGACTCCGTGTTCACTGTCTGAAAGATATGCACTTGAGGTGCACTGGGATACACATCTGTGGACCAAAAGCAGGTAAATATGATTAAATTGGATTGTCCCATTTGGCTAGCACATCACATCCTGAGCCAAATTGTCTTCATTAGCATCAATTTTTGGCAAATTAGGAACTGGAATAGGACACTTGGCCCTTTAAGCATATACCATCATTCAATAAGCTCATGGCTGATCTGATTACACCACAGTCTAATCTGTGGAGTAATAGACATACTTGCCATATCAACCTGGAACTGCTTGTAGGGAAGCCCAAAGGTTGATGAACCTGTGGACACACATTGGTTTACAGAGGCAAGGATGATTGAAGTCACGGGCTGAACTATGCAATTCCAATGGACTTCCATTTCAGCTGAAGTCCAATTTCTTACTGTAGGTTTTTTTTAATGATTTGCACATGTTTTGGCAAAAATTATTCAGATTAAAACAAAACAAACTGGAAAAGGGCAGGAGGTACCAATTCCAAAGGTGCATAATATCAGAAATTTAAACCCATCTCTACTTTTTAAAAGGTTGTTGCTGTTGTGTATTTCCAGCATTGTGTTTCTTACATAAAATTTAATTTGCTATTGGAGTACCTATACGTGCTGCTAGCTGAATTGTAAGTGCTTGCTTCATCTCTAATTTATGTAGAGAATTGAAGGTGGAGTTATAAATCTAAAATGGATGTGGAGCTACTGATAATCTGAGGTACTGTCACCCTAGCTTTTTAAAATATAATTTTTTTTCATCTCTATTTCAGGGTTTTATGTGGATCGAGGGTGCGCGTTGAGCTGTCAAATGGAATGTCACGCAAATCACGCTATGGCCGCCCTCCTGCTCGTCGCCAGTTTGACCCTAATGACCGTTGCTATCAGTGTGGAGAGCGTGGCCACTATGCCTATGACTGCTACCGTTACAGCAAAAGAAGGCGTGGCAGCAGGTAAGCTGCGGTAGGCATGCTGGCTGTAAAATATCTTCCGTCGAGCGGGATGAGCATGAATCTTAGAGACTGTTATATTTGTAACTGGCCCTTGAAAAATCTGAACAAAATAAGGTAAATAATGTATAAAAGTCGAGGGACAATAGTAAGAGAGATTAGATAAATTTTACCAGTTCAGTGTTGCTATAGCACAAGTGTTTCATGAGGAGATGGCATAATAAGGTATTTCGTGACTGTTCCTCTATCTGGTTTAATTTCCACATACTGTATGTAGCCAAATATGACAATTACTTGTTCTGAAATCAAGTGCACTGGAACTCTTGGTCTAACAGCTTCGCTGACTGGTAAAGCTCAGCTTGATTATGTTTTAGCACAGCAGCATTGAGGTAGTGCCATTACCTACAGCTTTAGAAGATAATACCATTTACCCCAGTCCCCTACTTCCTCCTTCCCTCTTCCACCAAAACAAACAGTGCAACATTTGGGTGCTCTGTTGAATTTTTCTTGGCTGTAGGTAACTGAAATTATTGATGGAGAAGTTAAAAATGTTATAGCTTGATTTGACTTACAACATTGTTAGAGATGTGCATATTTTGTCTAAATTCTGTATATATTGTTTTAATATGCAATTGTACATTAAATGTCTGACTTGTCGTCTGTTTAAATGTTAAAATATTTATATGTTTAAATGTTTCAATCTTTTAAAATTTGCCCTGTATATATTGAAAGTAACCTTTGCTATCAATTATACCTGTACTATACAGTTGAATCCTGTTAATTGGGACTCCCAGATGGAAATTTATGGTTCACTGTTCAAAAATACCACATAGACCTGAATCCATTGGGATCCGTTTGATTCCGGAGAAGGTTGTGCCTGGTCTGTCCAAATTAGCAGATCTCAGCTGTTTATGAAATGAATCAAAAGTTATGGATTGTTGAGGTGAAAGTTGAGTCTAGTATGACAGTAAAGGCAGGCCTAGGTAGTTCATTGATATTTTTAGTTTTGAAGAATATATTGATTGTATTGGTGGCAGGGATGAAACAATGCTTTTTTAAAATAATTATCCCATGTTTAACCTTAGTATTGGCTGCTGTCATTCCTAACACAGCTGGTTGCTCTGACAGCGTAGCTGATGAGTATCTGCTGATCATTGCATCATGCAGGGCATTGCAGTCGTGGCCAACTTGGCTTTGCCTCCTGCATTTTTCAGCAGGGTATAGCTCTTTTAATATGTACTTTGTAGTGTGGTGCAATTGCTTAATTGGCCATCAGAAGTAGGGTGGGAGGGGGCAGTGGGGCGGGAGCAGTTTGTAGAACTAAATTGTTGATGTGATTGTTTTCAGTCACACAGTTCGAATTCTACCATTGTTCATCCCTAACCACCAGGTTTAATGTGTTTTTCAAGGGCTGTTAACAATGTTTCTGGTGTAATAATTCTTTGGCTAACGATTCACCTGATCCAACCTTTCAGGTTGCTGCATTTGAGTCTGTCGCCATGATTAATGATCTTCTGACCCTCATGGCACCGGGCCTTCTAGCAAACTTTGGCCACTGCGGGTTCAGATCTTCTGTTGTGCGCATATACCTCTACCTGAGGTTCTGCTTCGTCCTGCCTTAAAAAAAATCAGTCTACGGTCTTTGTGATACAGAAAATTGGCCAGTTTAAAAGATGTAACGCTAAAGTACGCCCATCAAGCCAACTAATCAGGCTCTCCGGTTTGCTAGAGGAGCGTTCAACTTAGTCCGTCCTAGTCCAAATTCCCCTGAAATATTCCACAATCAAGCACCACATGTATCCTGATTTGGGCTTTCTGTGTTTGGAAGATCTGCTAGACACAACGAGAAATGAACATAATTAGACCAACCTGCGTCTTCTAGATCTTCTAGATCTCTCTGGGGGCAGAGACGGCTAATCTGTTCTGTAAAGGTTAATTTCTTATCAGGAGTAGTTTTTAATTTTACAAACCTTTTTTTATAAAAAACGTATTTAATTTTAATGTGACTTTTTAACACTTCAATAATTGGCTGTATGAATCCACATTTAATATTTTAAAAAATAACCGTTTTGATAATATTTTGACACCTCGTGCAGCGTGGCTAGCTGTCACAGGTGTCCTTGCACCACGTGAGCTTATTATACTATCTTCTGTTTTAGTCGATCTCGATCTAGGTCTCGTTCCCGTTCGAGATCCAGATCAAGGGGGCGTCGTTACACGAGATCCCGAAGCCGCAGCCGCGATCGGTAAGTCACGGGATTTGGCTTTGGAGTTTGCAGTTTGTTGGAACAGGAGCTTGCTTTTATTTTTCCTTTGGAGACTGGTGTTCTGTAAATGATTTTTTTTCAATTGCAGCCGCACACGTTCCCGTTCTCCTTCGTATTCTAAGAGGAGAAGTCGGTGAGTGGCATCAGCAACCTTAAAATTAGACCAGACTGTTTAGGGGTGATGTAGGGAAGCACTTTTTCACATAAAGAGAAGCGAAAATCTGGAACTCTAAAGTATTTGAAGCTGAGTGTCAATTAAAAATCTCAAAACTGAGTTTGATAAGATTTTTGTTAGGTAAGGGTATTAATGGATACCGAACTAACATCGGTAGGTGGAGTTAAAATATAGATTATCACGATCTAATTGAATAGTGGAGCAGGCTCAAAGTGCTGAATGACTCACTTCTGTTCCTATGAAATTTGTGGTAGACGCACTTGTTACTGCTTTGGGAACAGGAAGCTGAATGAAATGGGGTATGAATTTGGAGAGTATGGATTACCAGGTTTATAAGTATTTTTAAAAGCTTTGGCATTATTTTGTTGCTAAACCAGGAAAACCTGCTTCAAAGGTTACAAGGTAAATTTACCAAGAAGGGGTGTGGGAGTGACCAATATAAGTGAAGCTGAAGCAATTTAATACGTCTGTTAAAACTTTGATACAGGTCGAACCCAGTAGGATTGGTGTGTGATCCAACATAACTCAGTATTAGGATTACAGGAGTATAAAATGAAATTACAGTAACCTGAATGCCTTTTAAAATGGCTGCAACTGTGAATGCACAAGTTTCGAGAATCTCTATGCCATTGTATTACAAAGGCCACAGTGTACTCATGCAGGGAAGCATTTGGTTCAACAAGGTGCGGAAGATGCAGAGGCAGTTAAGGATTCGAGGGGACTAGTCAAGTGGGAAGGAGGTAGTGAGGATGTTGGAGGAGAAGTGAGGACTTGGGGAGAGAGGTCGCAGGAGGGAGAATTCTCTTCTCATCCTCCTCCTCTTCCCCCACTCGCCTGACACAGTTCACATCCGCATCCCGTTTAAATTTAAACCCAATTCTGTTCAAATTTGCATGCGCAAATTTAAGTGAAGCGTAGCGCACATCCGTGAGAGTGTGCATACAGCCTTTAAAATATCGCTTGTATGGTGTGGTTTAAAATGGTTGGTGTGTGATGTCATTTAAGGAGCCAACCTTATCTCTCTGCAGGTCCCTCACTCCAATAAGGTCCAAATCCAGATCGCCAATTGGAAGAAGGTAGGTGGAATTTTGTTCTGTTCAGACTACAGCTCAAATGTTGAAGAGTTCTATGTAAATTATTGTGCGGGGAAAATAAGTATGACATATCTCTTAAAGAAGAAGGCTGTGTGGAGGATACTGAACTTCTCTCCCAAAGAACATTGGCTTAGTGAGTCGAATCATGCACAGGAAAGTTCCACGTTCATTCCTGGTCTGTGCTTATTTGACCAAAGTTACTGTGATATGGCATTTCATTTAAACACTGAGTTCCTGGGTTGGGAAGAAGATTTCTGTCCCTTGATCATTATCCAGGCTGTCCTAATAAAGTCCACCCATGTGGATGTTGGACAGAGACCAGAAATAGCTCAGCTGTGACTTTCTTGTATGTCAGCCATTGAATTGATCAGTGGTCAATTGGGCAAGCTAATGGAATAGTTGAATCATCATCAGGATGGGAAACAATTAGCTAGAAATTAAGACCCCCATCTAGCTTTGCCAGGTACGTAAGAATTGGGGACAGGCATAAGCCATTCTGCCCTTAGATTGTGTGCTGTCATTCAATAACATCATTCTTGATCTAAGGTGGATGTAATTTTCCTATCTGCATAATCATTTAACAAGAACAGACAGCAGTTTTAACATAAACCTGTTTAAATGCAGTCCAGGTAGTACAATCAGATAAAAATCATCACCAATTCAAGGAAGGGTATAGGGCTGACTAAAGGTTTGGTGAAAAGTAGATTTTTTTTAAGGACACAAATGATTAGAATTTTTTCCCACACCAACTTTATCCCCATCTTTCCAAAGGCTATTACCTGCTTGAAGCCTGATGAACGCGTAAGTACAATGCACTTTACTTTTGAGAGTCTTGAATGTAAGTGTTGATGGACCATTTGACTGCAGGAGGTATTTCACCTGAGTCTAATCCTGTCATTACCAGCATGGATTATGTGGAAGTGGGCAATTAGGAAATCATGCCTGAGCCAAAATAAGTTGCCAACCATCTATGTGCTCCATCAACACCAAGACCACTTATTTCTTTCTCCGTAACATCACCAACTCAACTCCTGCTTGAGCTCATGCTGCTGAAACTCTCGTTCATGCCTCATTATCTCTAGACATGACTATTGCCTTCTCCAACCTCATATCAGTACAGTACAAGAACAGCCCCTTCAGCCCATCATATCTGTGCCAACCATGATACCATTCTAACCTAATCCCACCTGCCTGCACATAGTCCGTATCCCTCCATCCCTGCCTCTTCATGTTTTTCAATCATACAAGAATTTAGGCTCATCCCAAACTTTGCTCCCCTTGTCCAAGCCCACTGAGTCCGGTTTGACCTACCCTAGCTCCCCGTCCAACAAGCTTTTGAGTTTAAAATACTCCCTGTTCTCAAACTCTCATTCTTTCATATCTTTGTAACCTCCTCAGCAGTGAGTCTTCAAAGACCTTAGTGCTGCTCATATACTGTTTTAATAGGCTCTCTGCCTTCATCTGCCTCGGCCATGACATTTGAAATTGCCTTCTTAAACAAATTGCTTCTCTACCCCCTCCTCTTTTTATTAAGCTCTTTATAGTCCATTTTCCTCATTTGTCCTAATATTATCTTTTGTAGTTTAGTGTCATATTGTTTTATAATCACTCTTGTTAAATGCCTAAGGACATTTTACTGCATTAAGGAATCTGTATAATTTGTTGAATTTTTCCGATAATCTAGGGCTGGCAGAGCCAGCCTAGCACTGCGCTGGGATTGAACTAAACATCAACGGTGTGTATGTGAATGACTTGCTGCACAAATCCGTTGCCTCATAACCTGATCTCTAGTGACACATAAGCAGTCTGTAGCAGAAAAAATCTGCTTTGGAAAAATCTAGGAGTTTTCTTTTAAACTGCCAGAGGCATCCTTAACAGTGAAGTGTTCCTGCATGTACTGTCTTGAAATTAATTTTGACAGGAAATGTTTTGATTGAGCTCTTGCTAAGAGTCTTAAGTGATAAAATACGTAATTGTTTATGTATAATGCATTATGTTGAAATAAATTGAAACTTGTATAACTGACGAGCTCTATACCTAAATATCCGGACCTGTACTTGGCTATTCCATGAAGTGTGGTGCTTATGTACCTGTCAGCTGTGTTGCTAGGGAAGCATTGCTGAGAATTTCCACTTCCAGCGCTCACTGCAGAGTGATAAGGTGTGTTGATCCCTGTCTCACTGGAGATGATGGAACCAAGCATGCCATGCTGGTCTGTACCAGGATTTGTTTCACAGCCAACATTTGGCATTATGGACTTTGGTGGGAGGGATTCCCCTTTTATAGCCTTCATTGCACAATGCGGTAGTCAACTATTCATAAGTAATGGGTACACTGGAGGCTGTTCACCTAACTTTTGAATTCAGTTGACAGTTTAGAAAATGGAAAATAATGGATAGATAACTTGTGGGTCAGGGATGGAACAAATCGATATGTACACAGTGTTCATGGTTCAGACAGTGCAAGGTTGTTTGATGACTGACAAGTTTATGACATGGAACCAAAGTTTGATTAGACTTAACTGATTGCAACTGGCTGGTTCAAACCTTGAGCAATTGCAGTGTGATCAGAGCTCTCGGGGTCATTGTTGCAATGCAAGCAGAACCATGGGTCTCGTGGTCGCAGCGTGACCTGAGCTGAGAGACCCATAGTTGCAGTGAGACCAGGGCTTGCGAGAGCAATGATTGCAGCGTGACCAGGAAAAAGAACACTAATTTGATATGGTGGGTGTTGAACGCTAGTTGCTTTCATATTTATCTTTTTGTGTTCAGCCCTTCAAGATCACGGTCTCGATCAAGGTCTTTTTCTATTAAACGAGAAAGGTAAGTCCCTTTGGCTTAGGCTCCAGCACAACTTTCAATTTATCTTCTGCCTTTGAGGTAGAATATACCTAGAATGAATTGAGGTGTAATCAAAAAATGGTTGTCCAGTCATTCATGCAATTGTGAATGGAGACCTGAGTACTTCCGCTCTACAACCACCCAACAGGTAATAGATGTAAAAGGGTTTAGCAGGATCATGAAGAGAATTAAACAAGTGGCTTTGGGTTTAAATTCAGTTGGGAGAGGAGGAGCTGGGAGCCAATGGAAATCAATAGGGGAGGGATGATGGGTGAGCAGGGCATGGTGGGGCAGAAATGGCAGTATTTGAGCATAACTGTATATAGTGGGGTGGGGAGGTGGTATTATAGTAACAAAGACAACTTGAAAGAAGCTATCATTTTGGGTGTGAGCCATCCACAGAATCTAGTGTTGATTGTAAACTACAATATTTGACCTGGTTAAAGACCCAATTTGGCTTTACACCTGAAATACACTCGCTTTTTATGTGGAAACTGTAACCATCTTTAAGGAGCTTAAGTTGAGAAAGTGCGAACTCTATTGTCAAGGGAGCAGTAACAATTTGTAATTGAACTGATAAGATCGTAGTGGGAGTTGTGCTCCCTGGGCAATTTGTGAAATTATGCAGTTAAATTACTAGATGGGTATCTTGGCTCAACTACAATAATAGGCTTCTGGAGTTAGGATGAACCACTTTTTCAAGAAACTGAGGTTAATTGTGTTCCGTATTGAGGATTTTAAAATCAAGAGCTTGGAAAATCTGGTTGTCTTTTTAATTTGTTCTTTCACGGGTGTAGGCATGACTGAATAGGCCTGGATTTATTGCCCATCTCTAATTACCCTCAAGAAGTGCCTTCTTGAACCACTGCAGTCCAAGTGGTGTAGGTGCTGTTGGGATAAAGTTCTAGAGTTTGACCCAGTGAAAGACTGGCAATTTCCCTGCAAGTCAAGGTTGTTTGTGCCTGGTGGGAAGCATGTAGGTTATCGAATTCCCATGCATCTGTTGCCCTTGTCCCAGGTGGTAGAGATCGTGGGATTGAACGATGCTGTGAAGAAGCGTTGTTGGGTTGCTACAGTCATCTTGTGGATGTTACACACTGCTACCCTCGTGCATCAGTGGTAATTTGAGATGGATGAGGTTGGCAAAAGTAGAGATCGTGTCTGTAAAATCTGTCAAGTTAGATTAAATGCCAGGAAACGTTTATTCGGCCAGGCTTTGATCCAAGGGCAGAAAAAACACAGCTAAAAAGTCACTACAGAGCACCACTTTCACAGATTCCTGATTTAGCTGTGATCACTGAATCACAGACCATGCTATTCTGGCACTGTGATCTTGGGAAGTCTAATAAGAATTCAGCAGAGCTTATCCTACATTATAGTTACAGCAGCTTCATGGTGATGGTACTGAACAAGTAGCACAGAGTTCAAATTCCACCTTGGCGATTAGCAAAATTGAACTCGATAAATTGGACAATTAAGGGCTGACATCTGAAAGCATCCCACACTGTTGTAGCATTGTACCTCCATGTTCATGAATGCCATACCAACAAGTGACTGGTGCTTCACAGTTACATAGTTCAGTCTCAACGTCCACAGGGCAGCCAGGGATATGAGATAAGAGCTTGTCACTATTGCCTGTATTCTATTTTAAATCGGTTTCTGATTTCTTTGTGGATGAGTGTTTAATTTGCTTCACTGATTTTACTTTGATAGGACGTTGACCCTTAAACATTAAAAATTCAGTTCTCCTTGACAGCAGTTTTCCTTTTCTCTCTCTCTTTCAGTCGCTCCCCTTCAGAAAGTTCTCGTAAGACCCCAAGTCCTGGAAGAGATGACTGAAATGCAAAGACTTTGAGAAGAGTGCAGCAAAGGGGCCCTCATCACCTGACCACCTTTTAACTAACCTAGATGTTTTAGTGCCTTTTTACGTGCATGCATTCCACAGAAAAGTGTTACTACTGTTCACTTAGCACGAGTAAATGTTCTTAATTGAATGTTGTGAAACAATTGTACAGCTTGTTCAATGGACCTTCTTCATTAGCTGGCAAGGGTTCAGTTAAAGTGCTTGCATTTCTTTGTATTAAATTTTACACATTTATCAAGTACAGAGATTCTGCTTCAGTGAATTTGTTGCAGTGTGCCAGGTAATGTCATGAAAATTAAATAATTGAGAATTTCTAAAAGTTCCAAGCCAGTTAACTATTTTGTCTGTTTACATCTTTTCTTCTTAGTTCCCAAGAATAAAGAGAGGCTTAAAATGTAACTTAATTATGTGTTCTGAATTCTAATAGTATGATTGAGAGGATACAAGGCTTGAAAAGACTGAGATGTAATGAAGCCCCTAGGGTGGCTTCACTTGTATCACCCTAGTCGTTGCTGCATGCTTGGTCCCCGATGTTTAAGGTTAACCTTGAGTTGTGGTAAGGAAACAACCATTTCAACTTGTACTATGTTAAAATGCAACAGATGTTTCAAACCTTTTTATATTGAGGACAACATCAAGGTGTTGAATAGGAGGGGATAGCTGGGGGTTCCTTGGCAGGAGGAGATCCCTTGAGTAATTAGAATATGAGGATAAAACTTTGTTACCTAGGGCATGGGAAGCCAGTGGACTTGAATGAGAAAGGCAAAGAGTATGGGATTTGGTGCATGTGGACTGCAACATTTAAGATCAATTAAAATGGGGTAATAGAGAATTTGGTCTGTTTAAGCTGTGAGCTGAGTACTGGAAACAAAGTAAGATGTAGGAGTGAAGTATTGCAGAGGCAGGTGCATTGCCTTCAATAACCTTATGTGGCAGAGTGTGGTGGAGCACCATGTCAAGATTCACCACCTCTTGACTAAGCTAGAAATGATAACCCTGAAGAATGAAGCCAGAAACGTAGGCTGGCAGTAACAGAAAAAGGATGGTCCTCAGTTTTGCTAGCATTATGTTGCGAGAACATTAGGGTAGATGATGGCCTAGTGGTATTATTGCAAGACTATTAATCCAGAAACCCAGATAATGTTCTGGGGACCCAGGTTTGAATCCCACCGCAGTGGAATTTAAATACAATAATTTTTTTAAAGTCTGGAATTAAGAATCTACTAATCACCATGAAATCATTGCTGATTGTCAGAAGAACCCGTCTGGTTCACCACGGTCCTTCAGGGAAGGAAATCTGCCATCCTCACTTGGTCTGGCTTACATGATTCCAGTCCCACAGCAATGTCGTTGACTCTCAGTTGCCCTCTGAAATGGCCTAGCAAGCCACTCAGTTGTACCAATCACTACAAAGGCTCAAAGAAATGAAACCGGACAGATAACCTGGCATCAACCTAGGCACCGGAAAAGACAACAACAGAAACAGCCCTGTCGACCCTGCAAAGTCCTCCTCACTAACATCTGGGGGCTAGTGCCAAAATTGAGTGAGCTGTCTCACAGACTAGTTAAGTAACAGCCTGACGTAGTTATACTCAGAATCATACCTTACAGACAATGCCCCAGACACCACCGACACCATCCCTGGATATGTCCTGTCCCACCGGCAGGACAGACCCAGCAGAGGAGGTGGCACAGTGGTGTACAGTCGGGAGGATGTTGCTGTAGGAGTCCTCAAAATTGACTCCGGACTCCATAAAGTCTCATGGCTTCAGGTTAAACATGGGCAAGGAAACCTCTTGCTGATTACCACATACCATCCTCCCTCAGCTGATGAATCAGTACTCCTCCATGTTGAACAACACTTGGAGAAAGCACTGAGGATGGCAAGGGCAGAAAATGTACCCTGGGTGGGGGATTTCAATGTCCACCACCAAGAATGGCTCAGCAGCAGTACTACAGATAGTGGTTGGCTCCTCAAAGATGTAGCTGCTAGACTGGGTCTGCGGCAGGTGGTGAGGGGACGACCAAGAGGGGAAAAACATACTTGACCACCTCCTTACCAATCTGCCAGAAGCAGTTGCATCTGTCCGTGACAGTATCAGTAAGAGTGACCATCACACAGTCCTTGTGGAGATGAAGTTCCGCCTTCACATTGAGAATAACTTCCATCATGTTGTGTGGCACTATCACTGTGCTAAATGGGACAGATTTTGCACAGATCTAGTATCTCAAGACTGGGCATCCATGAGGCACTGTGGGCCATCAACAGAATTGTATTCCAGCACAATCTGTAACCTCATGGCCTGACATATTGTCCCGCTCAACCTTTACCAGGGGGTCAACCCTGGTTCAATGGAGAGTGCAGGAGGGCATGCCAGGAGCAGCACCAGGCATTCCTGAAGATGAGGTATCAATCTGGTGAAGCCACCAAACAGGACTATTTGGACGCCAAACAGCAAAAGCAGCGAGTGACAGACAGAGCTAAGCGATCCCACAACCAATGGATCAGATCTAGGCTCTGTAGTCCTGCCACATTCAGCTGTGAATGGTGGTGGACAGTTAAACAACTCACTGGAGGAGGAGGCTCCACAAATATCCCCATCCTCAATGATGGAAGAGCCCAGCACATCAGTGCAAAAGGTAAGGCTGAAACATTCACAGCGATCTTCAGCCACAAATGCCAAGTGGATAATCCATCTTGGTCTCCTCCAGTGGACCCCAGCATTACAGATATCAGTCTTCAGTCAATTTAATCCACCACGTGATATCAAGAAACAGTTGGAGACATTGGATACTGCAAAGGCTACAGGCCCTGACAACATTTTGGCAATAGCACTGAAGACTTGTGCCCCAGAACTTGCCGTGCCCCTAGTCAAGCTGTTCCAGTACAGTTACAACACTGGTATCTACCAGGCAATGTGGAAAATTGCCCAAGTATGTCCTGTACATAAAAAGCAGGACAAATCCAACCTGGCCAATTACTGCCCCATCAGTTTCCTATTGATCATCTTCAGCTGCTTCATCAATGACCTTCCCTCCATCATATGGTCAGAAGTGGGGACGTTTGCTGATGATTGTGTAATGTTCAGCACCATTCGTGACTTGTCAGATACTGAAGCAGTCCATTTTCAAATGCGACAAGATCTGGACAATATGCAGGCTTGGGCTGACACGTGGCAACTGACATTCCTGCCACACAACTGCCAGGCTATGAACATCACCAATAAGAGACAATCTAACCACCACCCCTTGACATTCAATGTCGTTACCATCACTGAATCCTCCGCAATCGACATCCTGGGGGTTATCATTGACCAGAAACTCAACTGGACTCACCACAACACACAGGAACTACAAGAGCGGGTCAGAAGCTAGGAATACTCTTTAATGCTTGTCCACCACCAACAAGGCACAAGTCAGGAGTGTGATGGAATACTCCCCACTTGCTTTGATGAGTGCAGCCCCAACAACACTCAACAAGCTTGATACCATCAAGGACAAAGCAGCCGCTTGATTGGCACTACATCCACAAGCATCCACTCCCTCCACCACCGACACTCAGTAGCAGCAATGTGTACTATCTACAAGATGCACTGCAGAAATTCACCAAAGATCCTCAGACAACACCTTCCAAACCCACAGACCACTTCCATCTAGAAAGACAAGGGAAATAGACATATGGGAACACCACCGCCTCCACGTTCTCCTCCAAGCCACTCACCATCCTGACTTGGAAATATATCACCATTCCTTCACTGTCACTGGGTCAAAATCCTGGAATTCCCTCCCTAATGGAATTGTGGGTCAACCTACAGCTAGTGGACTGCAGTAGTTCAAGAAGGCAGCTCACCACCACCACCTCAAGGGCAAGTAGGGATGGGCAAGAGATACTGGCCAGCCAGCAACACCCACATCCCACAATGAGTCAAAAAAAAAGCCTATTGCATCTTAAAAGGAAAGCATTCTATTAGCATGTTTTCTGAGGACTGACATTTATCATTTTGTAAAAGTCTTTCTTGATAAAGAATTTAATTACCTCTCAAATTTCTTGATATGTCACACATGGTTAATTTCTTTGAATTGCCTTAATGCATGGAAACTCCAGTGGAATATAAGTGCTGACATGGACCAGCAAGCCATATAGTTTGTGCTATACCCTCAAGAAAGCCATCTGGCAATCATATTGGTAGGCTTTTCAGCAGCAAATAATTAGTTTATGTCCAAACTTATTTGAAAGGAATTTTTTTTAAATCTGTACTGCCTGAGGTAATTTTGTACCCTCCATGTCCATTACAAAAGCAGCCAAAGTAAAGTTTTGTTTAAGTTATGGCTCCCCTTTCATTCGCAAATACAAACCTACTAAAATCTAGACTCCTCTCTCGATATTGAGCAGATGAGTTTGTGTGCTGAAGGCAAAACAAAATTTGTGAATGGTTCATTCAGAAAAAGGGGGAGGATAAACAGACTGGCAGCTAGCATGCCAATTAGGAAGGGTCGCATTGGGAGAAAATAAAACCTGAAACCAAACCATTGACAAAAGGTTTTAGCTTTTTTTGATCATCTTACTTGACAGGCTGAATAAGTATGAGTTACTGATCATTCACAGTGAAGAATTGAAACCAAACTAAGGATTCATCACCAAGTTATTTAAATTGTGTCACTATTAGTGGTCCTGTCTCTGGTTGCTAGGCCTTAAACTCTGAAATTCCCTCTGTAGGCCTGCCCAGTTCACTTTCTTCCTTTAAAATGCTTCTGAAAATCTACCACATTGGCCAAGCTTTCTCTCTGACTTAACATCTCGTGGTCTATAATGGTCTCTCCACACACGGAGAGAGGGAGATGCACACACTTACACACCTCTGTTAAGGGCACCAACTATTAACATTTACCAGAACTGATGATACCAGTGGTGGTGGTAATCAAATATACTGGTGTCCTCATGGCTTGCAGCAACCAAAAGTGGAGCATAGTCTTCACTAACTAAATCAATTTGAATGTTAATGCTCAAATAGGCAGGGCAATGGAGCAAAAGGTGGCGTATAGACCTATTTGGATTGTTCATTGAACCTTGGGTCTGTTTGGATTGGCTGCTGTTTCCTATGTTCTAAACTACGCTTCAAAAGATTCACATTCTTTGAGTATAAAACACAGGCCGCCAAGGTCAGAGCTAACAAGGTTTAGAGCTGGATGAACACAGC